TCTCTCTCTCTCTCCCTCTCTCTCTCTCGCTCTCTCTCTCTTTCGTACTCTCTCTATTTCGTTCTCCCCCCCCCTCTCTCTCTCTCTTTCTCTTTCTATCCCAATTTCATATCACTCCATAAGGCATAGTTTGAGTCAAAAGACCAAACTGCGTATTACCAAAAAATAAAATAAAACCACAAGTGTAAGAACGGGAGGAATTGCGATTCTCCTTATCAGTGGTCTCAGAGACTATAAACAAATTATGAAAGATAATATGTATTGTCCTGTATTCTCTCAGATAAAAAAAGGCAGAAACAACTTCGCAACAACTCCCGTGGCAAGAATGTCAAGTTCAGTCAGTTAACCGTATCTATCAGTTCCTCAAAGGACTTACATCGCTGCAGCATGTTGAGTGCATGCGTATGTAAGGCATCACTTGTCTTCTGTGAAACAACTGTCCGGAGCAGAGAAGATATCGCGTTTGTGTTCGTGGTCACGATTTTCGGTTTTTGAGTCTCGCTGGTTTGTTTCGTCAAGGAGCTACCAATATTGTTATTATGTCTTGTTGTATTGTTGTCATTTGCATCACCCTCACCAGCCCAAAAACACCACGTGACTGCTTCCGCAAGGCAACTTGCAACGATGATGATGATGATGATGATGATGATGACGATGACGACGAAGCAGAGTTGCTGAGCTAATATTGCTCCGTTGTTGTTTTTGTTTTGTATTTGTTTTTGTTTCATTTGTGCTGTTTTGTCTGTGTTTCTTTTTTACTACCACTGCTGTGCCGTAGTCGCAGCAGGGTGCTTGAAACAGAAGCATCAGAGTTGCTGTAGTTTTTGTTGTTGTTGTTACCAACGTCGTTGCTGTTGTTGTAGTGATATCAGTTTTTACGCGTGAGGGAGGCAGACGACGTTAAAAGCGGGTGCGGGAAACGCCCAAAGTGAAGACCTAATTGCAGTGGGCTGGATCCTCCTGTCAGGCACTGTGCGCATGCGCATGGAACCGGCCACCTGGACAGTGAATGAAAGCGTTCAGCATGTGCGTGATGATGTGTGGGACTGTGCACACTATGTGCTCCGGGAATTTCCGACTTCGCCGCTATAAACGAAGAGGTGAGTGCGCCTAAATCGTGAGGAGTAAGTCCGTGTAGAGGTGCCCTCAACGCTGGTACAGCGAGGGGTATGATGGGAGAGACTGAGCTATGGGTGGGGAGAGTGCTCGCGGGTAAACCCGGATGGTGGAGGGAAAGAGCGAGGGGAGGGATGTGTTCCGAAACGGGGGTAGTTGGGGTTCGAGACGGAGAGCCAAGACTCATCCCAGCGGATGAAGAACTTGTTACTGTAGGGTTTGACCCACCGTTGGAGCTGACAGACGGTGAAGATGTTGCTGATGCAGCTGCCGCCGCTGCTGCTGCTGCTACCGCTGCTGCTGCTATGCTTCCTGCTGACGACAGCTGCTGTTGTTGCTGTTGTGATGGAGGAGGAGGAGGAGGTGGTGGTGGTAGCGCTGCCGAAGACGCTGTTGGAAGGACAGGCGTTCTTGGGGGCGCGTGCGTGTGATAGATATCGCTTACAAGTTTCTTCATCTCTTCCAAAGAAGAGTTCAGCATGAGAATATAGTTCTTCGCGAGCAGAAGAGTGGCGATTTTACTCAGTTTTCGCACGGAAGGACCGTGGGCGTAAGGCATCACCTCTCGGAGACCGTCCAACGCCGAGTTGAGATCGTGCATGCGTTTTCGCTCTCGGCTGTTGATTTTGAGCCTCAGTTGCTGCAGTTCTTGGTCGTCCACACACTTGGAAGCCAGCCCTCCCTTCTTCCTCAGCTTACTGCTGCTGTTTTTGTTGTTGTTGTTGTTGCTGTTGTTGCTGTCGTCGTGCTGTCGCAGAGACCTGGTGCAGGAGCTGCTGTTCACAGTGCTGTCCGAGGGGGCTGGGCTAAAGCTGTTGTGGCTCTGCCTATCGTCCTCGATGTCACTAGAGTCCTCGAAATCGTCGACCGATATCAGTTTGTTGTCGTTGTTTTCATCATCATCGTCGTCATCGGCATCGTCGTCATCAAAGTTTTTGGTATTGCTTGACAGACGACCACCGCTCCCGTGGTGGTGGGAGAAGAGAAAGTTTGTGGCTTCCGAATTGTGGAGATGCGCCGCCATACTGGAGACGTGCTGGTGCTGCTGCTGAAGGTGGTGATGGTGATGCTGATGCTGATGTTGCTGGTGCTGTTGTTGTTGTTGTTGCAGGTGCGGGCGGTAGAGGTACGGATGGTGTCTGTGGTGGTTGTTGTGGTGCTCCTTGTGTCGCAGGGAGTTGGAGGACACCACAGTCTCCCCACCGCTGGTGTCGGCTTCCGTTGCCATGGTAACCACAAGACGCTCGGCAGTTGATGATTTTTTTTACTGCTTCCGTTTTCTGTGACAGTTTTGTGTGCCCGAATCTGTGTAGAACTCTTCTGTGTCTTGAGGCCTTTGGGGAAAGAAAATAGAAGAAAATATTTTATAAATAATTTGTGCAATGCAAAATAAAATTTGGTTCTGTGAGAAGTCAAATGGATAGATAGATAGATAGATAGATAGATAGATAGATAGATAGATAGATAGATAGATAGATAGATAGATAGATAGATAGATAGATAGGACTCCCCCCATACACACACACATACACAAATTGAAAATTTTAAAAAGATACCATCATGTAGAAACAGGCAAATAGACGACCAGTTGCAGGGAGACAGAAAGGTGGGTTTTTTTATTATGTAAAGTCTATTTATGGAAATTGCTTGTAGATAGACTTATACTAACATTAAAAAACTGTCAAAATACACTAACACCCCCGAGGGTAAAAAAGAATCTAATTGCAGTAGGAAAAGATAAAACTAAAATAAAGACTTTAAATGAGAATAAACTCCTCTGAAATAGCAGTTCACAAGAGAGTGGCAAACATACAAAAGAAGTAGATGAAAATGACCATAGTAAGGGTAAAGAAAGAAAAAACAGCAGTTCCCTGTTGCAGTTCAGGCACAGTTATGAGCATGACACTGATGAATCAGCACATTTACAATTCTACTGTGCATAAAAACAAGTTAGTGTCCCCCCTTTGGGAATGGGAATGAAGACAACTTCAGTCAGTAGTACTGCCTGGGGGGTACTTAATTGTTGGTTTTGAACACAGTACTTCTACACGTCGGGCACAGCATTAAGCTGATTGGGAAACCATAATAGCAGGGGGCAAAGCAGTTGAAACTGTCTAAGGTACAACTACTTGTACATATGACCTCACCTCACAAACGTCCACAGAAAAGATTCCAGAGGACGGTAGAACCTTGGATATTTGAGAATATAAATTTTAATGTTGAGAAAAATCAGGGAAGAATTTGGACGAGAATGAAGTTTGACGTATTCAAGTTTTTAATTCGTGCATTTATTTATCTTTTTGTTTGCTCATATATTATAGGTATTTATGTATTCATTTATTAGTTCATATACCTTAATAAAATAAAGAATGATTTAATTAAATCAATAAACTAATTATTCAATTAATTTAATAAATTAGTCTCTTACTTTACTGCGTATCTTACTTAGTATGATTAAATCAAGTAAGTAAATTAATAACTTACTTTACAGCTTATCTTACCTAGTAGTAGCTTTCATTTTCTGAATGTGCAACCCTCACATAACAAAGATGAGAATAAATGAAAGGAAGAATCTGGAAGAGACTAACCTGGTTGATTTATGTTTTATTTTTGTGTTTATTCATATTTTTTGTTAGTTCATTTACTAAGGCAATGTGTGTGTATTTGTCTATAAGTTCGTTAATCGTTTTTCAAAAAATAGTGCTAATTAGTTAGTTAGTTAGTTAGTTAGTTAGTTAGTTAGTTAGTTAGTTAGTTAGTTAGTTAGTTAGTTAGTTAGTTAGTTAGTTGATTGGTTGATTGGTTAGTTGAATGGTCGGTTGGTTGGTTGTTAGTCTGTGGTGTAGCCGTTAGTCACTTTCGACGCCACATGTAGAAGACCTGTGTTCTGTTCTCACGTGGGGAAAATTTTGAACGAGCATAATATCAGTCTTTGTTCTGAAACGTTGTGTCCCCCTCAGCCTACGATGTCCCTGACATGCTAGATCGAAGACCGCCTCCTAAATGGTCTAAATTGTGTGGGTTGAGGATGTGAAAAAAACAACAACACCCACATAAAAAAGTAATTTAAAGTAAGCACGACTACTATTTTTGGCCTACGCCATTTTAATGGAATGGCTTTACTGGGGATCACAGGGCACAACAATGACAACGTCTTTTGTCACATAATGAAACTTCGCTTTGCACCCAAAAGATGTGAGTTCGATTCCCACAAGTAGATGATATTATATAATAATATAATATTATATTATATAATGCATATTATTATATCAATGAGTAGATTTATATCTTATGTTCTGCTAGGATGTATTATTCACTCACAACCCAGTTTTTCCCAGACAGGCAAGGGTGAGTTTGTCCATCTCCAAAGCACTGAAGTATAGACTGTGTAAGCGATGCCTCCAAACATTTACCGTCACGTCATAACAAAGAGACTCCGTCTAAAAATAACATCACTTACATCAGTACGTGAGTACGTGCTCATTCGTTTTCATTTCCACTTGGCACGTACACAGACACATCAACCCCCCCCCCCTCCCCCCCCCCCTCAAACCACCTCCCTCTCTGTTTCATCTCACACCATGCCATAAGAGGGTGCATTTCACAGGCCCTTGAGCTTCCCCTATTTTGAGTGGCCTGTTTAAGGCGTCTGGCTAGCAATCGCGAGGTGAGGGTTTGATTCTTGGTAGAGCAGGAAAGGAATTTGTATCCATATGAACAGAAAGGTTGTTGTTTATCTTTTTTTAAATTATTTGTAGAACTATTTCTCTTCCTCCGCCCAACTTGGAAAGGGAATTTGTCAACGGACATAACCGGCAGGAGCAAAGGCTGACTCGTTTGAAAGGATTATCAAATTGAGAAAAAGAACCAGGTAAAAATGAGTCCACACACGAAAAATATGCCCACAACAGTAACAAAATTAACCAAATTTCTTAAAAGAGGCGGCCTCACTGAGTTGTGAATGAAAACAAATCTGGAATTCATATTATTACTGCATGTTCACCCGCCAAAATAATCGAGAAAATATCTCACTAAATATTCTTATTCCCATTTTGGGCAAAACGTAATTATAACTTTTAAACGCACGGTGGGAATAACGGTTTCAAAAATTTTCAAGAGTAAATTTAACCTTAGATGTGAATACATACACAGAATGCAAAGAAGCATGTATTTGGTTTCAAATTTGGCTGTCTTTGTATAGGCTAGCTTTTCGTGGCCAGGAAATCAAATCAGGAACTGATTAATTTAGAGTGGTAAAAAGTCCCAGAAAAAAATGCTAGCACTCACAGCAACCACGAGACTGTTTGGAGTTAGCCCCCCTCTTTTTCACCTTTTTTTGAGGTAGACTCCTCCAATTCAATTGTTAGCTTATATAATCAGTACTAGAGGCTGCTTATGAAAGAGGCCCGAATTGGGTGAAACAATAAGTTGGAGTACTGTGCATACGGCTCAAATAGAAAGTATATTATATACATTTATATAAATTTGTTATGTAATGTTGGATGTCACTTTAACGAATTCACAATGCTTTGGGGTTTGTTTGTTGTTTGGTTGGGTGTTTTTTGGATGGAAGGGGTTGGTTCTTGTTTGTTTGTTTGCTGCTTTGTTAGTTGGTTGATTGGTTGGTTGGTTGGTTTGATTGCTTGTTGGTTTTTTTGTTTATTGGTTTGTTCATTTGTTGTCTAGATCTAATGATGTTTCTGCTCCGCCGCATCCCCTCCCTCACATTAACGCGACTCAAAAAAAAACCCACAAAAAAAAAAGATTTTTCAAAATGCATCTCAACTTGCACTTTAACACGATACACTGAGCCCTTCTGTTCCCTCTCAATAATAAGATTCGCCAGAAAGGGCGCATTTCACGGGTCCTTGAGTTCTCCCCCCTTCCGTTTGTATCCACATTACTTCCCTTGAGGCTGAGTTGTGCGCTTTGTCGTCATCAACCTTTGAACTCTCGTGACGGGACGTTGTTATAATATGATTATCTGGATGACTTTCAGACGCTTCTGTGTGTCGCTTACTGTAAAACTGGTTCATTCTGTGTTTACCAGGGAGACAGAGAGGGGGGAGAGGAGAGAGGGAGGAAGGGACAGAGAGAGAGAGAGAGAGAGAGAGAGAGAGAGAGAGAGAGAGAGAGAGAGAGAGAGAGAGAGAAAGAGAGAGAGAGAGAGAGAGAGAGAGAGAGGGGGGGCAGACAGACAGACAGACAGACAGACAGACAGACAGACAGACAGACAGACAGACAGACAGACAGACAGACAGACAGACAGACAGCGAGGGGAGAGAGAGAGAGAGAGAGAGAGAGAGAGAGAGAGAGAGAGAGAGAGAGAGAGAGAGAGAGAGAGAAGGAGGTAGGGGGAGGGGGCGTCTAACTATTGGAAATTTGACTACTCGAGATTTACTCAAAAGAACGACTTAACGAGAAAAGCATCCGAAATAAAAAGATCATGCGGGTTCATAAAATTATTTTTTCTAATAATTAAAAAAGAAATTTCAGTTCTTCGTGAACGGAATTTGACTTTTGCGAAAAGTTCTCTTGATCTTTTATTTCTTTAAAGGAAGCGTTTTGCGGTATTTTCGACACCAGAGAAACTTGTCACCCTTGCCTTTGTCTTCTGTTCAAGTTATTAGCTTTGGAGTATCTTCACCGACCATGACGACATGGGGTCGGCCTGGAGAACGAGGTAACGGGGGTGACGTATTATTAACCCTTTCATTGTCGAGACACTTCCATTTGTGATTGTACAGGCAAAAAATAGTACAAAAGTTCATTCATGAGACATTTAAACAAAGCCGTAGTATCTTTCCCCTTATTTTGGATAGGAATAAAGGACTGAATACACAATGGTAATTTTTTTCCTTTTTTTTCCTTCTTTTTTCTTTTTTTTTCTTTTTTTCTTTTTTTTTCTCTTTTTTTTGTAAAGTGGTAATTACATCTCCTTATACTTCCCATGTAAACCATTAGACAAAGTAGCAGAGACCCAGGTTTGGAGAAAGTAGGCGAGTACTGTGTAAATAAATATAATCTACTTCCATGCAGCATGAGGAGCTTCATGTGGGTTATGGAATGGAACGGGTGAGGGTCTTTCAAGAGAGATTTAAACAAAGCGATTGTATATTTTCCCGATTTAAGAAAACAAACAAACTAAAAAACCCAAAGAACCAACAACTGCATTGTGCCAATGACACAATATCCTATATACTTCCCAGTTCACACAATTTTGGCAGAGAACTAGTTTGGGAGAATACAAGCGAGTACATAATACTTCGTCACGGCAGAGAAGAGGTTAATATGGGTTATTGAACGGGAGAAGCCAAAAAAGTGAGATAATGAT